TCGTCCGGCCCGTCCGCCTCTGGCCGAGGCTGTGTGCTGCCCTCGCTGCGGGCCGGGGCTGTGTGCTGGGGGGGGGGGGCGGCCTGTGTTTAGGGGCACAGGAAGGAGGGGAGCTGTTAGCGATTCCCTGGGAGCCCCCGGGGGCGGGCAGGGCGCAGCCGAGCAGCTGGCAGCCAGATGTGGTGGAGAGGCTGCGGGGGGAATGAATTGGTGCCAGTCGGGTGGTAGGCAGGGGAGGCAGGAACCGAGGGGGCCCAGGAGCTGAGGGGCGGGAGGGAGGGAGGGAGGGAGGGAGGGGGACACAGTGAGCGCGGAGATGATTTCTTCACTGACAGTTAACCGTGTGCTGGTGTGGGGCGGTTTAGTCTGGGGAGGATGGGCCCGGAGGCCGAGGCAGCGAGGTTTCTGCGGGGAGGGGCTCAGCTCAGGCCGGGAGCTGGGGCCGGGGACGCCTCAGCTTTCCTGCACACAGATTTGGGGAGACCTAAACTCTTTGTAATACAGAGTGGGTGGAACAACCCCTGAGGCCGGACCTCAGCAAACAGAAAGTGCCCTCCTAAGAGCAGCCCTGGACACAGGAGGGGGCGGTCTGGGCTCCCCTGGAAACAGGGGTGGGGTGGGGGGTCGGGTTCAGCATCCTCCGTGGCTAGGGCAAGTAGCATGAGTCTCAGACTCCAGGAACCCCCATTTTCCTTCTTTTTTTTCCGCCTAAAGTTTATCCTGATTGTAAGCGCCGGGGCTCCCTGCGTAGCCCCCGAGTTCCGCCCTCATATTGGTAACGGTAGGGGCGCTGCCAACGTCTGAGGGTCTGGGCAGGATCCGGAAGGGACTGGTTGGGGGTGAGGAGCGTGGCCCGGCCCACCCACTGCACTGGGGATTCTTGCAAATTGCTCCGCGAGGTGCACAGAGTGGGGTGGGGTGGGGGGCCGCGGGGGGCGTGGAGCGAGGCGGGTGAATCTGCATCCTCGCCCCCTGTAATTGACACCTAGGTCCTCCCTCCCCCATCTGGGCCGTGACTCACTCACCCCGAGCTCCCAGCCTGAGACTTAAGTTTCCTGGTGGAGATCAAGTTCCCGCCCCGCGGGGCTGACAGCTCGGCCCGCCGGCCTTCCCCTCCCGCGGGCACCTCGCCCGGGCTCCCGGAACCGGGCAGACCGGTCCGGGTGCTGTTTCTGGGATGGTCCGACCCGGGTCCCGGCCCTTTCCCCAGGCTGAACTGGGACGCCGCTTCTCCCCTCTCCCCTCCCCCTCCGGCAAGGCGAAGGGGGAGGTGAATCTCAGGGTGGGGACACAACCAGAGCTGTCTCCTATTTGCTCTCCTTCAGGGCCTTCGTCTCTGGCCCTCAGTTTTCAGATCTATAAAAAATGGATGGCCCTTGCTGGTTTTGCTCAGTGGATAGAGCGTTGGCCTCCAGACTGAAGGGTTCCAGGTTCGATTCCGGTCAAGCACATATGCCCAGGTTTTGGGCTCGGTCCCCAGTAGGGGGTGTGCAGGAGGTAGCCAATCAATGATTCTCTCATCATTGATGTTTTTATTTCTTTCCCTCTCCTTGCCTCTCTGAAATCAATAAAAATAATATATTTAAAAAAATGGACATTAGAAGGACCAGGACCAACCTCAAAGGAAAGTTTCAAAGGCCTCATTCAGTCACAAAAACTAAGTAGTAAGCATCTGCTAGCTTTGTCTCTACCCTCTTGGAGTCCACAAGCTAAGAGAGGAGACAAACCCAGAAACAAATGTAAAACTAATTGTGACAAATACAACAAAAAAGTAACTCTTGATCTAAGTGTCAAGTATAGGGATCTTGGATGAAAATAGGGGGCACACAGCAATCATTTCCCTAGGTGACAAGGAAGGAAAAAGCACTCCAGGAGAGAGCATGTGCCAAGGCCCGGTGGCTGGGAAGACTGGGAGTACGAGGAACTAAAAGCAGGTCATGTAGCTGGAGGCTGATGCAAGATCAGGCCAGCGATGCCCTGGGCCCAGGTCCAGCGGGACAGTCAGAGGGCTGCTGTCCCTCTTCCAGAAGCAGAATTCTCCTCACTCTGGGACACCGGACAAAGTGATTCATTGTTATTTAAATGACAGAATACACCTCTCGGCTTCTCCTTTTCAGTGTTCAGTCGCAGCTAGTTCTCTGACTGAAGGATAGTCTTCCTCCTTTGGCAACAATGTGTCTTTAGCTTCGCTAATCTTCCTTTGTAACTAAGAAAGCTGTCTGGCACCTCGCACTGGCTACTGTTTCAGCAGGATCTTATGACAGTCTTTCCTTTTCATTGTAACTTTTATGAACTGCTGGTTACCTTCTAAGTATAGTGAGCGATTAACTCACCATTAGGTTTAAAAATTAGATAATACTCCTACAGTTGTTACACAGATCTGATAAAAATCCCATCAACTGTCTGAAGTTTGGGAAACTCTACCATCGGAAGCCGTAGATTAAATGAGATAATAAATAGTAAGCACTTAGCATCTGCTTACCCCAAACAACACATTGACTCATTTTGGCCTGGGCTAGGCATTTATTCATGAAACATTTGAGTGGGGTGCAGATGCTAAATAAAACATATCTTCTCAAATGGCGAGCAGTGCTCCTAGGAAGGCTGAGCAGAGTGGGGTGCTGTTTGAGTCAGGTGGCCAAAGAAGGCCTCACTAAGGAGGAGGTGACATTTCAGCAAAAACCCGAGGAAGCCGAAACCCCTCAGTGGTAGAGCGTCGGTCTGCGGAGTGAAAGGTCCCAGGTTCAATTCCGGTCAAGGGCATGTACATTGGTTGCGGGCACATCCCCGGTTGGGAGTGTGCAGGAGGCGCTGGTCGATGTTTCTCTCTCATTGACGTTTCTAGCTCTCTCTCTCCCTTCCTCTCTGTAAAAAAATTAATAAAATATATATTAAAAAAATCCTGAGGAAAATGAAGATGGACGTGGGGGTATCTGGGACGTGGGGGTATCTGGGAGAAAGGCATTGCAGGCAGGAGGAACAGCAAGTGCAAAGGGCCTGGGGCCAGACCATGCTTGGCCTGTTCTGCAAGCAGGAAGGAGGCTAGTGTGTTGGAAGCAGGGGAAAGCCGGGAGAGTGACAAGATCCAGTTTGTGTTTTATAACATCAGTGCAGTTGCTGTGTACAATAGATTGTGGGGGTCAAGGGCAAGGAGGAAGCCAGGAAGATGGGAAAGGCTTGGAGGAGTCCTGAATTGGGAGACTGGTAGGAAGCAGCAAGAATTTTCTTTGGCTCCTGTTCTATTTGGAATAGGACCTCTCCCCTCACCCCCCACCCCCAAGGAGACTGGGATGGGTAGCTAGATTTAGTAGTACACATAGAGGTGGCATTAGAGCCCTAAAACTGGGCGGGTAGGTCTGTCAGGCTCTGGCCTTTTACCTTCGGGATGGAGGTTGTTTCAAATCTGTGCCCACTTCAGACAGCACTGTGGTGAACACCCTTCTGGAAACTCCTTGGGGAACCAGAGGGTCTCAGGGCATGGGGCATTTGTCCGTGTCGCAGCCGTTGTCCAACTACTCCCCAGAGGGCCTGTCCCCATGACCCAGTGCCAGGTCATGGACTGGCAGCTCCAGGCCCCATGGATGTCGGTTATTGTGACAAGTTCTCCACGTTGCTCATTCTGACGGGTGACACGTGTGTGTGTGTGTGTGTGTGTGTGTGTGTGTGTGTGTGTGGTGCCGGCCTGTCTCCCACCGCGTCCCCTCCAGCCCCTCCCAAGGGCCGGCTCGGAAATGCCCGGGGCCCGGGGCGGGAGTCGCCCCACCGCTTCCCGCGGAAGGAAGGGCCGGTGGTTCCTGCCACAGGATGCACCGTGGGCCCCCTCCCGCCGCCGGGGACTTCCTGGGGCCCGGCCAGTTCTCAGGGGAGCAGCGCCTCCGCGGACACATTGAGCTGCCGAAGGAGGTGCGCGGCTCCAGGCCCCCCCACATCCCATTGGGGAGGGAGTTCTAGGTGGTGCAGCCGCCCACCTTCCCCCCGGAAGGAGTGGGGGGCCGTGGAGGATAGCTAGGCGGGGGGGAGGGTGGTGGGAGGCAGGGTGGGGCGTGGGTAAGAGGCTGGTGTGGTGAGGGCTCCTCCATGCATCCTCCCCCTCCCACCCCGGGGTCAGATCCGGGGACCCAGCCTGGCGGAGGTGGGGCGGGTGCTTTCCCGCTCTCTCCCCACACCTGCAGCTCCTTTGTCCTCTCAGCGGCCCCTCTCGGGCCCGTACGGGGTTGAATTAGGAGGACTTTCTCCCCTGGGGTGGAGCCAAGCCAAACAACAAAGGCTCCCTCCCGGGAGCACTGCTAAGCTTGCGGCCTCCTCCTGGGAAGCGGCTTCCAGGCTAACTCCGCAGGCGAGGTAACTGAGGCTGGGCTTACTCCCTGTCTGCGCCAAACCCACAGCCAGAGCTGGGAACGCGGCATCCAGAAGGATCCCAGGTTTATCTGCTCAGCTTCCTCCCCACCCCCACCCCCACCCCCACAGGTCCCCCGCCAGAACGGAATCTGTTGGTCAAGTGCAGCCGGTTGGGGGGTGGGGGTGGACCTGAGTGGCTCCCCAGCTGCGCGTGGGGCAGGTCCCCAGCAGCATCCTCCTCAGTCAACGCAGGGACTGTGAATTCAAGCCTTCGCTCTCCCAGATTTGCAGGGGAAACTTATTTTTTAATTTAACTCACCGATGTTACAGGGAGGAGAGACGGAGAAACACGGCCCCTTGGGACACCCATCCTTTGGTTGCCTCTTGGCCGAGTCCTGACTGGGATGGACCCCAACACTTAGGCGTACAGGGATGACGCGCTAACCCAGCCGAGCCAGGGCTGGAGGGGAACTTCTAAGGAGTGAGGGCGCCAGGGTGCCCAGAGCGGAAGTGGCCTGGCGGAGGCGAGGGGGCCCGGCCCCGCCCGCTCACGTGGGAGCCGGTCGGGCCGGTTTCTGCGGCCTCAGCGAGCCGCCCCCGGCTCCTGGCCCTTCACCCCGCCCCTCCCCCACCGGGGAAGCAAACCAGACAGTCGACTTTTTAGTTAAATGGTCTTTTATTTTCGTATCTGGTCTCTAGCAAAAAGGCCAGACAGACAGAGTTAAACAGAACCCACCAGAGTAAACAGGCCCTCCGACGCACTGGCTAGCATCGCCCCCTCCCCAAACAGGCCCGGTCTCACAGAGCCAGGGGCACCCCCTCCCCCTCCTCTGAGATCCAGACCAAGGTCTCTGGGCTGATTGTCTGTGCCGGGGGGAGGGTCACGCCGGAGGCGGTGCGCCTATCCCCACCTCGAACGCACCAAACGAGGGAAAAAAAATGTAACCTGAAATGAGATCCGTTCCCCGGGACCTGAAGGCACCGGGGTGCGGGGAGAAGCGCGGGGGGCTGTGCCCCAGGCGGCCTCCCTTCCAGGCCCCACGCCCACGCGAGGCAGCAGGAAGCGCCCCACGCCCGCCCGTGACGCAACGATGACCGCTTGCATAAGCATGTCGCCCGGGGGGAGAGGGCGCCGGGCACGCCGCGCTGGGAACCAGGACACCGGCTCTCGGAAAAGCCTCGAAGGGCAGCACAGCCCCCGGTGAGAAACAAAGTCCGACCCTGAGGAACGTCAGGAAGCAGACCCCCCTCGCCCAGTCCCGGAGGGAGGCGGGGAGGCCGCGTCCCTGTCGGTTCAGACAGCACCTGCGGGCGCGGCCGGGCTCGGAGGAGGGCGCCCCAGCCCCGGCTCAGGTTCCCGGGCGCCGCCACTGCTCCCGGGGGCGGCAGCTCCCGGGCCGCGGCTCCTCTCCACCGTCTGTCTCCGCGGGCCTTCCCTCCCGCGGGGCGGCCTGGCTTCGGGCTGTGTGTACTCGGGCCGACGGCTCGGCCCGCGCTCTGGACTCCGGCAGCGGCCCGGGCGCTCAGAACGCCACCACGGCCCGCACCAGCACGTTGAGCATGCTGTCCGCCGCGCGGCAGGCCGGCTTCTCGCAGGCCGGCGGCGGCGGCGCGGTCGGGGGCGCGGAGGGGCTGCAGTTCAGGAGGCCGGAGAAGCGCCGCTGGAGCACCCGCGCCAGGTTGGGGAAGGCACCTTCCGCCTGCGCCGGAGGGGCCCGCAGGCGATCGGGGACCTCCGAAGGCTCCCCCCCCTTTTCCTCCGCGTCCTCCCTCTCTAGGCGGGCTTTCTTGCTCGGGACCAGTCCGGCATCCCCGCCGTCGCTGAGGCTGCTGCTCCGCCGTTTGCGGCTGACTTTGGCGGGTCTCGGGGCGCAGCGGGCGGGGGTCTCCTCGGCCGCCGGCGCCTCCTGAGTGTCCATGGGCTCCGGGCAGGGCTGCTCACCGTCGGTGGACGCTGCTTCCGCTGCGGCTGGTGCTTCCCGCGGTGGGTGCAGGCGAGGGTCAGGGGAGCGGGCGGCTGGCGAGGGCACCTCGGGCTGCTCGTGGGCTTCCACCTTGGCCGAGAGGTAGAGCTCCCGGGCGCTCCGCATGACCAGGGACAGCTGCAGGCTCCGGTGCAGCCGCAGCCCTCCGCGCTGCATGCGCGAGTGGTACATTTTCCACACCGACAGGGTCATGATACGTTGCGCCTCCTTTTGCACCTCCATGGCGACTCGACGGTGGCGACTGACTTCCCTACTGGGCAGATGCACTTCGGACTGCGCGCTGGCTCTCGCGTCTCCTACCCGCGCGGACGGACGCCGTAACACCCCCAGGACGCTCTGCCCCGGCGCCCGCCACCGGGGCCCTTTTGTACCCGGAGTTACGTCACCGCGATGCCCCGCCCAATCAGAGCGCCGCATCGGGCTTTCCACCGCGCTGGGGCCAGAGACTTCAGCCTTAAAGCGACAGGGCGGGATTTACCGGGCAGACAAAAGGGACACCAGCCCGGACGAGGGGAGGCGTTCCCCAGCGCCCTCTGGGCACTCGGGGTGGTCTCCTTTCTCAGCCCTCCCGACCTCCATGCGGAGGGAGCAGGAAGCACCGCAGGCCCAGGGAGCGTGAGGCTCGGGGCCCACCCACGTGCTGGAGGTCGCTGGCCCCAGCAGGTCGTGGGCGGCTAGTTTTCCATCGCACAGGGGAATACCCGGGTTTGAGCCGGTACATCACCCGTGGGCACAGTTCCAGGCGTCTCATTAGTGTTTCTTGAACCAATAACAATGCCAACACTTATTAATCCGTTACTAAGTGCCAGACGATGTTAAAGGCTTTCCTTTCATAAGTATTTCATTGACCCCTCACGGACGTACTGCTGTTATACTTGATTTTTTCACGTGGGGAAACCGAGGCGGACTGACTAGTCCCAATATTTGCTAAGCGAATAAATGGGCCAATTGCAGTGAAAGGGGGCCTTCACCTCTATAGTCTCTAACCTGCGCCAGCCCCCCTCACTCCCCTTGCCTGTTAGCGGAACAGGGTCAGCTGGCCAGCTGCACTGGCGGCGGAAGTCTGCAGACATGAGCGCATCCCGGCTGCCATCTCTGCTCTCCGCACTGAACAAGATCTTCCCAGTTTCCTTCCGCACCAGCTCCACGCAAGGTGGGGGACCTGGCCACACGACATCCGGTTGGACCCATGGCTGCGGCCCCTAAACGACCCGGCAGCGCGCTCTGTCTCTGCACCCGAAGAGGCGCGTTTGGGGGGGTAGGAGCTGAAAACTGAGCAACGTTGAAAGCAGATAGAGAACATTGACCCTACCCTCCGCCACGCGCTACCTCTCCTAGAAAAAACCTAGTCTTAGTTCCTCCCCCCCAAAAAGCTGCAACATGATTTGAATGGCTCCATTCATTCGCGGTGCGGGCACTTTAAGGGGAGGCCCCGCCCACTCGACTGGAGCGTAGCGCCTTCCCGCCAAGGGGGCCGCGCGACGTCGGGGCTAAATTTGGAAGCGATGACGTAGGGCCGGAGGCCGAACCACTTCCGGCTGCCCATATAAGGACAGGGGCCGGGCTCTCCATAACGGGCAACAGCCGGCTCTTTCCGGCGGCCGGCCGGCCGGGCGTGGGTGGGGCCGGGCCCCCAAACACGCCCTTTTCCTTTCCCCTCCCCGGGCTGAGGCTGCCTGGAGCCCCCGGCTTCCGGAGCCGTGTCTAGTGGGGGCGAAGAGGAAGGTTTCGCTTCCTTCCCGGGAGGCCGGGAAGGCGTGACGCCCCCCCCCGCCCCGCTCCGGGAATGCCCCCCGCGGGCGGGTTGAGGTGATCTCTGGGCTCCCCACTGGCGCCATATCCCAGATGCTTTACACAAAAACCTTGCCTGCACCAGGGGCGGCCCGGTGAGGGCCCTTTTATCCCCGTCTTCCCAGTTATTTCTCCCTACAAGGCCCCCTCCCAGGTATGACTGCTCCCCTCCTCCCCCAATTAATTATCTCCTGCCCCGTTGGGGGACGCTCAGGTCCCGATCCCTGCACCTGGGGACTCAGCAATCCCTAAAGACCCCGTGCAACCACTGTCCCCCATTCAGAGACCTTTCCTGCCACACACTGCGGGGGCCGGACGAGAATGTCCCCACTCCCCTACCCCCCACCGCCACCCCGCCACCTCCGAAACTCCGCTATGACATCCCAACCCAGGTACGAACTCTAAAACCCCACACAGCGACTCTGACACACAGGGGCGACCCTCCGAGGACTTCTTCAGAGTGAGATCAGCCCCTCATTCAGGCGATGGCTTCCCCGCACCCCCGAAAAAAGTGCTTTCCCTAGCCCCAAGGGACGCCCCTGTGTGACAGAGACGTTGTATTCCTCCCACACATCCTTGTTCTCTCCCCAGACGGGAGACCCCACATGCAGAGGGCTCCTCTGCCCCGGAAACAATCCTCAGAGCCCCCACCACGCCTCCCCGCAACTCCTAGGCTCACACCCGGCAAGACCCCATCCCCCCGGGAGCAGCTCCGGGGCGTCCACAGCGGCCATTCCGCCCCATGGGGACCTCGAGGTGCCCCCCCTCAGCAGGAAAAAAAAAAAAAAGAGAGAGAAAGAGAGAGAGAGGAGAGTTCGGCAGAACCACCCACAGAATGCCCGCACGTCACCCCGCCCGCAGGAAGGTGGGGACGATCACCTTTCCCCCCAGCCCTTCCCAAACCTACTCCCGGACCCGGGGCTCAGACAGATCTCCCTGGGTAGCATCCGGGCGCAGGCTCAAGGAGTCCGTTAAAAGGAACTACGAATCGAACGAGCCCCTTCCCCAGCCACAATCCCATCTGATTCTTGGGAGGTTATTATTATTATTAGTATTATTATTATTATTATTATTATTCACATTGCCGGGAGGGGAAACTGAGGCTGCGCAGCAACCATTTCAAGGGGCTGGGTCTCGAACCCAGAGATCCCAAGTCCAGACTCCAGCCGGGCCGGGCAGACCCAGGGGGAAGCCGGGAACCGCGAGAGAGGCGGACCCGGAGAGCGGACGCATGCGCACAGAAAGCCGCCTCTGCCCACAGCCAAGATGGCGGCGGAGGCGGCCGGAGTCCTGCACTTCCGGCTTTTGCGGCCTCTCTATCTTTCCTCGTGGCCCGGCTCTCGATGGTAGATTAGGTCACGTGACGGGGGCGGGAGTGGTGGCGCGCTCTCCTCCGCTGCGAGGAAACCAGCGCTCCAGGCCCGGACGCGAGGGGGCTCGGCCTCCGACCCGGGGCGGTGACATGTCTCTCGAAGACCCGTTTTTTGTAGTTCGAGGGTGAGTGACAGCGATGGGGGAGGGCGGAGGGTGCTCGGGCCCCCGCCCGCCAGTGCTCAAGCGGCCTTGGGGTGCGCGGGTCGGGATCACCCGGGGGCCGAGCGGGAGAGGTACGCGAGATCATGTAGGGGTCCTCTGAGCTACCCCACTCCTGTGGGGGCGCAGCGGCGGGCGGGAGGCCTGCCTGCCCGCCCCCAGACGCGCCCGCTGTGCCCCTGCCTGCCTGCAGCGAGGTGCAGAAGGCGGTGAACACAGCCCGCGGGCTGTACCAGCGCTGGTGTGAGCTCCTGCAGGAGGGCGCCGCGGTCGGACGCGAGGAGCTGGACTGGACGACCAATGAACTGCGGAATGGCCTGCGCAGCATCGAGTGGGACCTCGAAGACCTGGAGGAGACCATCGATATCCCGGAGGGTTGGAGGGCTGGAGGGTTGGAGGGCGGCCCGAGAGAACCCATTGCGGTGGCAGGGGGGATCTGGGAGGCTGGACACCAGGGAGGGGTTGAAGGCTTTGAGGCAGATGAGGGGGTTATGTCTAGCTGTGGCCTTGACTCTTGACTCGGGGCCTACGCATAGTGGAAGCCAACCCAGGCAAATTCAAGCTCCCGGCTGGGGACCTGCAGGAGAGAAAGGTATTCGTGGAGCGGATGCGAGAAGCTGTCCAGGTGAGAGAGAGGAGGTTATGATGGGGTAAAGGGTGGAGGTTGGGGCGTCTTTACTCTCTGATGCTGTCCTCATCCCCAGGAAATGAAGGACCATATGGTCAGCCCAGCAGCCATCGCCTTCCTGGAGAGAAATAATAGAGAGGTAAGGCATCTTGACCTGACCCTAAACATTTTTCAGGGTGAGCCTCTCCTTGGTGTGCGTTTGCTTGTTCCCTGGGAAAGTGTATGTCTGTCCCTTTTATGTCAGTGCCCATCCTTTTTATGTGCAGTCCTTTTGGCTGTCTACCTGCCTGCTTTCTGTATGTGTATACCTGAGCCCTCACTGATTGTATAATACTCCCTTCTGCCTTTCCTGGAGGTCTGTATTGGTTTCTTCGGGGGGGGGGGGGGTGGAGAGGAAGAGGGGTGTGTGAGTTGTGTCTGTATACCTATCCTCTTTCTTTGTTCTGTGTTTACTGTTTCCAGCATATATGCCTACATTTTCCCTCTGTGTATGCACTTGACTTATCTGAGTGTGTGAACTTGGCCTCTGAATGTGTCATATCTGCCTTGTGCATGCGCGCGCGCGCACGCGCGCACACACACACACACACACACACACCCACCCACCCGTGGGTGTGCTTGCTTTGTGTGTGTGCCTGCTCATGCCTTTTGTTCGAATGCTCCCTGCTGCCTGTCTGTACACGTTTCCCCTATATGTGGTATGCCCATTCTTTGTATGTTGTGACACCACCAGTCTCTCCCCATCCCATCATAAGCCCACAGGGGATCTGGGAAGGTGGGGGAGCTGAGGCCCACACCAGCTTGGAGTCCTGTAGCAGTGCCTATGTGCTTTTCTGGTGTGCTACCTTGGGGATTAAAGTCCACATTCTTACACTTGTTTATATGGTAACTAGTGGCCCAGTGCACGAATTCGTGCACATTGAGAGGAATTAGAAATATTTTAATATCGCTATTTGCTCTTTCTCTATAATATAAGTGTCAATCAAATTCATGATCGACAATGACAGATTGAAACACACGCGTGTGATTGGTGCTAGTGAGGGTTTTATATGTATCTCGCATGGGCGAGTCAACTTAGCCCTTTATACATATAGAATAAACTTGCTTAATTTAACCTGCTTTCTTTTTTCTATGTATATTTTATTGATTTTTTACAAAGAGGAAGGGCGAGGGATAGAGAATTAGAAACATCAATCAGCTGCTTCTTGCACACTCCCTACTGGGGATGTGCCCGCAACCAAGGTACATGCCCTTAACTAGAATCGAATCTGGGACCCTTCAGTCCGCAGGCCGATGCTCTATCCACTGAGCCAAATTGGTTAGGGCTGACTTGCTTTCTGATTTAGCTAAACTTTTTCTAGCCCAGTGAAGCATCCTAATTTCTCTTTCAGGTAGTTGTCAGCAACACAGTAGTCAATATCAACACGAACAGATTATTGTTATAGATCACGCAGGGAGAACAAAGGGTGAAATATTTAACTGCAGCAGTGTTTGACTATATTCTGTCAGTGAGAAAATCTGAAGTCACTTTCAGGGTTCATCCTTTATTCTTTTCAGTTGGGTCAAGTTTCTAAGCTTTCTAAATATCTGTTTTCCGACTAATAAAAAGAAAATAGGATTCCACTGAGTCTCCTATCTACCTTCTCCAGGACTTTTGTGAGGATCAAATGACATGAGACACGGGAAAACTGCTTCACATTTGGTTACAGTGAAAACGTTTCCCCCTGGCTACAAAGCCAATTGTGTTTCTGGGCTGAAGAAACTCCAAGGAGGCTAATTGCTAGGGAGAGAGAGCTGGTTGTTGCTATGTGACATCATTACCCAGCGCCCACAGCCACCGTTTCCAGGCTGGGCTGTGGGCCACATTTTGTGCCATGGGGTCTTGGCAAGTGTCGGCTGCGATTTGGTGGGCTGACACTCTGGGGTTGCTTTGTGGGCGCCAGGTCCGAGGTGCTGTTTTTCTGTTAATGGCCAGTGTGAGTCACTGCAGCTCCTCTGTTGAGCGTCTGCCCCCTGGTGGTGATTGTGTATCATAGTTACTGGTTGGATGGATACTTAGCATATTAGCCTTTTCTATAGATAGATGTTTTCCATGGATTAATTTTCTCATTCCAACCTTAGCAAACAGGGTTTATAGTTCTCCCCATTTTACAGATGAGGAAACTGATACACAGGGAGGTCAAGTGGTGTGACCTTGGAGTCACCTTGCTGTTAAGTGGGTGTGAGGAACCCAGGCCATTGCGCTTCAAACACTGCCTTACTAACTACCGTCTAAATTTGTCTGAGTCTGGCTCTCTGCTGAGTGGGTGTTCTTCCCTGAGCTTGTGTTCTGTGCCCCACCAGATGCTCACAGGCAAGCCCACTGCCCAGAAGCCATCCAGTGACCTGCTGGATGCCAGCGTGGTCTCTGTCACCTCTCGCTACATTGAGGAGCAGCAGGCCACACAGCAGGTTTGTGCGGCTGGTCAGTCATGGGCTGGAGGAACTCTGGTCTCCCTGATGACAGCAGTTTCCACTTCTTCAATCTGCAGCTGATCATGGACCAACAGGATCAACAGCTGGAATTGGTGTCTGGGAGCATCCGGGTTCTGAAACACATGTCCGGCCGCGTTGGGGAGGAGCTGGATGAGCAGGGCATGTGAGGCCAGGACCCCCAAGGTGGGCTGGGAGCCTGAGGCCGGCTCCCCTTCGAAGGCTTACACCATCTTGGTCTTGGCAGCATGCTGGACACCTTTGCTCATGAGATGGACCTCACCCAGTCCCGGATGGATGGGGTCCTCAGGAAGATGGCCAAAGTGTCCCATATGACAAGTGGTGAGTTCTCGGGGTGGGGGGAGGGGGGGAGGCTATTTGGGGGAGCGGGTGTGTGGAGGCATGGGGTGGTGCTGCCTCCCTCATGACTTCTGACCCTCTTACCCCTAGACCGCCGACAGTGGTGTGCAATTGTGGTGCTGTTGGGGGTGCTTCTCCTGGTTCTCATCCTGCTCTTCTCTCTCTGATCCTGGCTCTCCCAGGGGGCTGATCCCTCCAGCTGGGGGAGCTGGTAGGGCACTGCCCCCTGGGAGGAGGGTGTCATGTCTGGGGAGCTGTCCCAAGGCTCTCACCGAGAGCCAGTGGAACCCTCGGGGCCCTTGGTTGGAGCCCCTACCACTGGTTCTTTCTCAAGTGCACTTAGGGGATGGTGGAGGTAGGGGGACCTCAGACACACCCTGTCCCATTTCTATTTCCAGTGTCCCAAAGTCATTTATTCACCCTGTGCCTTCTACGTGTGCCAACTTGGAAATAAAATCCCAGCCTTTTTTATACATATGTAGATCATATGGTATGTTGACTCTAAACTTGTGGCTGCTTCCTGAAACTCTAAACCTCGTTTGCACGCACAGGTGTGCATGTGTGTACGCATGTGTGCATGTTCAGGATTTCAGTGGCCAGTATTAGGTGCAGAAAAGACTATTCTGGTTAATTTCTTGGTTTTCATGATGGATTTTATTGCCCCTGAAAATTTTAAACCATGAGTCTTTCTTGAGCGCTTGAAGTTCAACCTAAACATCTTTTGCCTGTTCTGAACCCAAAGTTGGTAGATGCCTTAGCCACGGAGCTGAGAGGTCATTCTGAGGTGCCTCCGAGTAACACTGGGCTCCCCTGCACACCTGGCTTCTAGTTCCCTCTGTGAAGCCACTCTAACACGGCAGTGTATGTACATGTAAGGGCTTTGCATGGAGCCTTCCTCCCAAGTATGAAATGATACGTATGTAAGCTGGGTAAACTTGTAAGTGCTGTGAACCTTAGATATCAGATGTTTCCATCCCCCACATTATTCAGGCGTGGGAACCACGAATCTCTCCCTCACATACACGTCCTAGAGTGCTCCATGTTACGAGGATGTTATTCTATCAGGCCAGTTTGTCAAAAAAGAACCCAGCATGTACAGACTCCTTTTTTATGTGGTTTGAGTTCTCTTAGCCCATTCCGTACTCAGTTCTAGGTCTTCCTGGTGATAAAAGGTGTGCTTCTGGGAGTCAGGTGGGCAGCATTAGCTCTGAATGTTTGTTGGCAATGCTGTTGGTCCCCCAAACCCCTTGACAGCTGATGTCGGACTTCAAGACTCCAAATGGGCTGGCCTTTCTGAGACATACCCAAGCCATCCTGTGACTGTAGTATAGTTGACCTCTGAACAACACAGGTTTAATCTGTGCAGGCCCATTTATATGCAGACTTTAAAAATAAATACTATAAATGTATATTCTTTATAATTTTCTTAACCTTGTTTGTTGCCTATTGTATAATGATACATTATATGGTACATATATAAAATATGTGCTATTGACTCTTTTCAGGTCAACAGTAGGCTTAGTAAAATTTTGGGGGTGGCAGATATACATGGACTTTTGACTGCCAGTGTCAACCTGAACCTTATCAGTCACCCCCATAGACATCATTCACTTGCGTCTGGGTGGAAGGAGCTGGCCTGGAGTCTCCTTGTCCACCTCCCAGCAGATTTTTGTTGACCAATGGGATCCCTCAGATTACTAAGCTTCCCAGGCTGCTTGAAATGACTGAATAAATGGGATCCCAAGGCACTTACATGTCTTTATTTGGCTCCATAGAACTTTTGTCATTCCATATCCTCAGGACTCTACATTTCAGCTTTTGTGTAGACTCAGAATGGAGGGAGGGGTGTGTCTAGGATGTGTGATGTCGGACCACAGGGCAGCTAGAGGGCCGGTAGCCCATTCAAGGGAGCCGCTACTAGCTTTGGAGGGACTCCCGTGGGATGCCCATGCAGGGGCCATGTGTGCAGGAACAGCCTTGGGAAGTGTTGAGTCTACACATGGGGTAAGTGGAACCCATTGGTGGCCTGGGTCTGTACTGTCACCATCTGAAAAGAACATGCTACCCCTCCCCCTCACATGATGGATGTTATGACATTTGGCATGGCCACACAGCATGACCATGCTGTGTTTGTCAGTGAGTGTCCTGGGCAGTGGGTGTTGCTCTGCAGAATGGGGACCCCAGTGTGTAGCATCTCTTCGCAGCCACTCCAACCCCACTGCCCCCAGTGAGTAGCATGCTGCAGGGCTGTTACAAAGGCGTTAGGTTTATTCCCATCAGTGTCACTGATGGCCTCATGTTCACATTTCCCAGTGCGCTCCTCTCCTTACAGTAGTTAATGTGCAATCTCACTTACAGGCTGGGGTGGGGTGGGGGCTCAGCCCAGAGAAGGGCAGGTGTTGGCACTCCACGTGGACACAGCAGCTGGCCTGTCCTACAGGAACAGGCTGCCAGAGGCCTCCAGTCTTTTCTGCGTTGGTGAGTCTCCGTTCATGCTCCTTCCTGGCTGCCCAGGTGGGGGTGGGAACCATGCAGCTCAGAGCAGGGCTGGGAGGAGGGGAAGGAGAGGGAAGGAAAAGCAGCAGGCCACCTGAAAGGGCAGGGTGGATGGGCACAGGGGTGGCTCCTGGGGTAAGGCACAACCCTGTCTTTGGCTCTCCTGGTGAGGAATATCCCCCCCCCCCCCCCTCAACCCCTCTCCCTCACCAACACACAGTTCCCTGGAGCCAGGGGCACCTCCTGGGGTCCCTGAAACAAGGGGTTCTGCCACCCAACCCAGTGCTGCAGGGGTATGAAGGACGGGGGTAAGCCCTGCCTGAGTACAAGGCAGGGAGGGGGCTAGGCAGGGATCTGCCCAGAAAAAATGGTGGGGAGGGAGAGGACACCAGTCCCAGGAGCTGGCCCCCAGCTAAGGCCTGGAAGGGGGGAGTACCTGGAGACTCCTGCTTCCTTTGGGGGCTGGCTGGAACCCCAGCCCACCCCTCTCTGGCCCCTGGAGCCCACCAAGTGACTGGGATATTGTGCTTTGGGATGACGCTGGGGTAGAGTGTCAAGGCCAGGATGAGGGGCAGGGGAGGTGCGACTAAGGTGCTTGTGCTTTAGCTGGGGGTGTCAACTCCCCCCTCATACACTTGCCTCCACCCCCACACACACATACTCAGGCCAGAAAGAGTGCCAGGATCACAGCCAGACCGGACACCTCCAACTCCACAAACAGGTGCTGGAGGGACCCCCTTCCCACAGGCTGGTAGAGGCAACAGGGTGGGGGATGTGGCCTCCAAGTCAGATTCCAAGGGTTCATTGGAATAGCCCCACCCATCCCTAGCAGGCTCCTGCCTCTGGAAGCTGTGGGCTGTCAGACTCAGGAAGAGACCAGAAGTGAGAAAGAGGTGAGGCGAAAGGCAAGGAAAAAGCGAGACAAAAAATGTCAAATGACACCCAGCAGCACAGGGGGATGGGGAGCAAAAACAAAAACAAAATAACCCTCTGGTTCACATGTAAAACTAAAATCACTCCCACTGGATGAGGGTAAAAAGAGGAATGGTTAGAGAAAATTCAGCAAACAACTGCTAATAAATGCAGTGGGTCCTGCCCTGTCCCCAGAAACTGGGCTCTGCCAAAAGGCCAAGACCAGGTTATCCTTCAAATGTAGTCCAGGCAACAGCTGGCCTGGGGGCCTGCCTTGGAAACGTGCACCATACTCTACATGCATGCACACATTCAGCCTACTCCCGCACCCCTCTCCTCATTCCACCTTCCACGGCCCCCAGCGACCAAAGGGCACATCAGACACAGTCCCATTGGTTTGAAAAATAAAAGGAATCTTATACTTCAATATTTCATTAGCTAAAAAAATGTTTTAAAAAGTATGTACAGGGGATGGGAGCTGGGAGCCCTGCCGTGGGGTGGGGTGGGGAGGGAGGGAAGGGCAGCAGCCTGCCAGCGTGCTCCCCTGGTTCCACTGCCTCTATCTTCATTTATTTTAAAGCAAAACCTCTCCACAATCACACGCACACGCACCTGTGAGTCTCCAAAACCTCTCCTCAGAAACTCTGGCTCTGCATCCCTCACTCAGGACCTGCCCCACTCAGGTCTGCCGGGCCTGACAGGGCAAGGTAGGCTGAGTACAGGGTGGTGGGGAGAGAAGGGCGCTGGGCGCACTACCGCCTGCCACCTCAGGTCAGTCATGTAATTTCTGAGCCTCAGGTTTCCTCAGCTGTCACAAGAGCAGTCCCCACAGCCTCGCCTACCCCAGGCCCAGGGTCAGCCGGAGGAGACAGGAAGGCGCTTTTGGAAACGTGGAAGCACTGGGAGGTGGTGGCAGGAGGGGTCCTGAGCACCCCGGGGCCCCTGCAAGTCCCATGGGGCTGCAGCGAAGGGTGGAGTAGAGGACTGCCCCCTAGACTGCCCCTCCCTGCCTGGCCTGGTTGAGTGGAATGGGAAAACAATTGCTAGGGGTGAGAAGAGGGGGTAGCGAGTACTCCCTGACTGTGCACGAGTGTGTGGGAGAGAGAGAAGGCCACGCAGAGCTCGCACCACTGCCACCCTCCCAGCCCACTCGGATCGGGGTCAGGGGCGGGACGGGAGGCCGAAGCATGCAGCACACCCTGCGGGTCCTGGGTAGGGACAGACAGTAGCTCGTGACCAAGATGGTAGGTGGGTGGGTGACGGGAGGGGGAGTGTGCCGGCCTCATGGAGGGCTGGTGGGGGTTACTGGAGGGCCTCGGCGGAGGGGCCGGCGTCGCCATCATGGCTGGCTGTTTCAAAGCTGTGCTCCACGCCCATCATGTCCGGCTCCAGCTTGCCCGTGTCACTGATGAAGGTGGTGTAGGTATCACCCTCGGGCGGCTTCCCCTTGGGAATCCAGCTCTTCCGCACTACACGGCGGGCATTGGTGCACATGTCAGCCGCGATGGCATTCATTTCGCTCTCCTTGAAGTTGGGAGCGAAGTTCTGGCAGTAGTCTGTGCGGGGAGAGCGGACAGCTCAGGCCTAGGTGACCCTGCTTGTTCTGACTCCCCCACCTCCACCCACAGGACACCATGGAACCCTTCTTGAAGGTGAGAACAGGTTTTACGGAGAGCATGCTAGATCACATTAGCTGGCTCCATGCTTGACTAAGCTCTGCCACATGTAAGACATATATGGTCTGACAGGGTGGCCCAGTACTCTTGAAAAATGTGTATTATTTGCAAAATTTAGGAATTAGGAGACTCCTTCTACCAGAGTTCTCTCTGACAATTGGCTGGGGCTTGGCTGCTTCATAACTACCTTGAATTTGAAGATCCTCACCCTCCTCCCATCGGACACAGGATTCCCTTCAGTGCCCTGTCCCCATGCATTCCCCAACTTCCTCCCAAGAAATCTCTAAGCAACCTGGCCCTCCTTTCAACAAGCCTAGATTGAGCCTCAGATCCTTAACAAACCATACCCACCTATCAAGGCCAACACCTGAAAAAAGGACCGTCTGCTCACCCCAGGGCCTCCGCCAACCCGCCTCCAGAAAGCCAGACACTCACACTTGACAGCATGGAGGACGCGACTGTCCAGCGGTTTGCGTCTGGGGTCATTGGTGGAAGAGCGGATGCCAGTGCCACAGCTGTTGGCCAGTGTGTTCCTGGGGGGCCATGGGGAAGGAGTCAGATCCCGTGGTGGGGGTCACGGACAGCTCCCCACTCCCCGGGCTTTGGCAAGGGCCTCACCGGTCAAAGAAGGAGGCCAGGAGGCGCCGCAGCAGGACCTTGTGCCGTGTGCCCGCACTGACATGGCAGTTCATGAGCTGCGCCCTTGTGATGTACACGTTGGTGCCTAGAGGGAGGAGACGGAGGGTAGTCCGGCCCTGAACTGCCGCATTCCCCACGTGGCCCGGCCCACTTCTTGGAGCTCCAGAGACCCTCTCCAACAACTCACCCCAGGGCAGCCTCATCAGCGCTCATAAAAGGGCAGATGGTGGTACCACTGCCTACAGGGCACCTACAATGTGCCAGGCCCATCTAGTACACGTGTAGCTTTTGTCAGCACAACCAGCTAGGAGTTACAACAGGCAGCAGAGGCTTGCGCCCAGGCACACTGATTCCGTGCCAAATTCTTAACCATTCAGTAGTTAACCCCACACCACCCTAAGAAGCACTCATCTACTGCCTTATGGCCATGATGTCCCTAATGCCTCCAGGGTAAAGGCCTAGAGGCCAGTCTTTGATGTGTATCAACACAGAGGGTGTCAGCTGCCCTAGGACAAAGCCAGGGGCTATGCTACAGGCTAGGAGCCCAGAGGGCACTGAGGCCAAGGGTGGAGGGAGGGGGACTTGGGGAGCAAGTGAGGCCAGCCTACCTGTCACCAGCTCTAGCTTCTCAGAGGGGTCGCCCTCATCATAGAGCTTGGGGTGGCAGCGGTTACCGATCTGGTTGATGAGCTCGGCTGGGAGAGACGCCAAGTCTTGCCGCACCCGGATGCGATTCCGGGATTCAGGGGTCACCTGCTCAGGAAGGGCCTCCACCTTCTCGGCTGTGGGGGGGAGAGAGATATGTGTTGGGGATGGGGGGCGGGGGTAGGGATGGCGAAGGGGGGCAGGGGTGGGGAGAGGACGGGCGCCTCACCACTCTGGCCGACGTTCATCATGCTGTACATGGTGTACATGTTGCAGATCTGCCGGTATTGCTCGTCTGTGCCCTCCTCACCCGCATCCTCCTCCTCGTCTTCCTCATTGTGGTATGAGCCTGGGCTGTCGCTAGTGTAGGCGCTCGAGGTGCCAGGGCTGGTCCGCTCAGACATGCTGGGCCCACTCACCACGGCCCCTGCCGCGGCCGCGGCCGCCGCCGCCAAGGCCTGCTGAGGTGGCCGGTTGGCGGCCAGGTCCAAAGTGGAGAACCTGGCCATTTTCCGGCTACCATTGCCACCACTGCTGCCGCCAACCCCGGCCTCCTTCTGGCTGCTGTCCCACAGCCGCTTAGCCACCGGCGTGCACTGCACAGAGTCCGACTCCTGCTGCTCCGTCTTGACACGGGATACCAGCGGCAACGGGGTGCTGCATGCCGTCCAGCTCGATGTCTGAGCCACAGGGCTCTGGGGCTCGGAAGATGGCGCCTCCTCGGCATGTAGGCCCTGGGAGTCGCAGCTGGGAGAGCTCACCTTGAGGAAGAATTCAGTGCCCTTCTCCATGATCTCCTGGATCTGCAGGAAGCCAGCCGTGTACATGAGCAAGAACTGGTCCCCCATATTCATGCTCAGCCGGCCCGTGTAGCAGAAGCTGAGGATTTGTTGGAAGGACTGGGGCTGCACAGCAGCCGGCAGCTCTACCACCGCGCTCCGGCTGCTGTTGAACAGGTCCCGGAAGTAGGAGCTGCTAGCAGCCAGGACGGCCCGGTGGGCCTTGAAGGCATGCCCTTTGACCACCACCGACACATCACAGTACAGGCCCTGAAGCCGCTGCTCATTCAGGCACTCCAGAATGCTGTTGCCGAAGTTCGGGATCTCCATCTGCAGGGTCTGGGCCATGGTGGCAGCTGTGCAGGGGACAGGGGAAGACAGAGAGATGGGTCAGGCGACATGCTCAGGCCTATTCTCAGTGGCATCCACATGGTAGGTTTGCTGAGGCCTTAAGAATCGCAGCTGTGGCTCGGGTTGTGCGTCAGCCTATGAACCAGAAGGTCACATGACAGGTTCCAAGCTCAATCCCCAGTAGGGGGCATGCAGGAGACAGCCAATCAATAATTTTCCTCTCATCATTGATGTTTCTCTCTCTCTCTCTCTCACTCCTTTGCTGAAATCAATAAATAATACATTTTTTTAAAAATCGCAGGAGCCACTCCTTCTATCCCTTTAAGACAGACTGTCAAATCAGTCAAGCTACAGGATAGGGTGGCCACATGCTGTTTCTTGCAGACAACGGGGAAAGGCAAACTTACACAAAGGTGATTAATACAGAGATCAATAACGCATCACTAGTACTCTATGCATAGGGTAACTCTGAAGGGCACTGGCATAGAAACTCCCAGAAGGTCGAGTCACCCCATTTTCCCCAGAGTATTTAGTGCTGAGGACATGACACTCAACCACTATTTGGTGAATGACTAGTGACAGAACCCCTGAAATTGTGTAAGAATACCATCAGTCATCAGAAATGCAAATCCAAATCATAACAAGTCACTGTTTCATACCCACTAGCTAGGTCAGGTAGAAGAAAAGAGACATGTGCTGTCAAGGAAAGAAACTGGAACCCTCTTATATTGCTGGTGAAGATGCAAAGATGTACAGCTGCTGTGGAAAACCGGCTGGCAGGTCCTCCACAGGTGCCATATTGCCCAGGAATTCCATTCTTCACAATTATACCCAAGAGAAGTGAAAACATACACCCATAGAAAAAACTGCACATGAATATTCACAGCAGCACAACCCACAATTGCCCAAACGTGCAAGCAATCCAAAGGTCCAGTAAGTGATGAATGGATGGATAAAATGTGGTACAACCACACAGTGGAATATCATTCAGCCATAAAAAGGAACGAACAG